GATGGAGCAGAGAGAGACTAAACCTCCTTATGTGCTCTCCTTTTAAAGCCCTCAGAACCACGCCCCTGACCACCATTATTAATCCATTCACTAGGGCACGGTCCTACAATCCGACCACCTCTTCAAGGCCCCACCTTTCACTTACTATAGTAGGATTTCCCACCCTCAGCAGTTACAGTGGGGATTAAGCCTCAATGAGGTTGGCGGGGGGGCATCCAAGCTACAACATTCTGCCCCTGGTCCCACAAACTCGTGTCCTTTTCACATACAAATACATTCATTTTGTCCCTAGAGTCTTGTTTCAACTCAAAAGTCCAAAGTTCAAAGTCCCATCTGTGAAATGAAAAACAAACGATCTACTTCCAAGATACAATGGTGGGACAAGCATAGGGTATATATTCCCATCCCAAAAGGGAGAAATAGGCCAAAAGAAAGGGGTAACAGGTTCCAAACAAGTCTGAACCCCAGCAGGGAGGACATTAAATCTTAAAGCTGGCAAATCACGTACCTGGACTCCATGTTTGACATCCTCTACATGCTGGTGTGGAGATTGGGTCCCCAAGTCCTTGGGCAGCTCCACTTCTGTTGCTCTTCTGGTCTGAGGTGATGCTTCAGCTCTCCCAGGCTGGTGTCCCACTCTGGCAGCTCCACAGGTCTGGGGTCTCCATGGCGGTCCTGCTCTCATGGCTCCACTAGACATGGTGCTGATGCGGTTTCTCTGCTGCAACTCTGACCCCACGTTTCTGCTCAACATTACTCTAGTGAAGGCTCTATGCAGTGACTCCACCCCTGTGACAGATCTCTTCCTGGGCTCCCAGGCTTTTTCATATATCCTTTGAAATCAGGGTGGAAGCTCCCAAGCCTCCACAGCTCTGGCAAGCTGTGAGCCTGCAGACCTAACAAGGCTTCTGGCTTGTATTTTCCAAAGCTGTGGGTCCAGCCACACCTGGGGCCAATTTAGCCATGGCTGGAGCAGCCAAAGCAGCTGGGGTGCTGATGCTGGAAGCAGCTTCCCAAGATGGCCCTGGGCAGTGAGCCTGTGGAGGGTGCCTCAGGCCTCTTCCCCAAGACCATTCTGTCTCCCTAGGCCTCTGGGCCTGTAATGGAAAGGTTGGCCCCAGAGGCTTCTGCAATGCCTTCAGGGCCCTTTCCCCCTTCTCTTGATAATCTCTTTCTTTTGTACTAATCTTAGCACCATTGAATTTTTCTCCTGAAAATGCTCTCTGCTTTTCTACCACATGGCTAGGCTGCAGATTTTCCAAATCTTTACACTCTGTCTCCCTTTTAATTATACGTTCTAGATTTACATCATGCCTTTTCTGCCATAACTCAGTGTAGTCTTTTGCAAGTAGCCATGCAGCTTCCTGAATGCTTTGCTGCTTAGAAATTTCTTCTACCAAATACCCTGGGTCAGAACCTTGAAGTTCCACATTCCATAAAACTTTGGGGCATGAAAAGAATGCAGCCAAGTTCCTTGCTAGTTCATAGCAAGTGTAATGATTGCCCATTTCCAAGAAACTCCTTAATTCTGTCTGAGTCCTCCTTAGAATGGTCTTTACAGTCCATATTTCCATAAGCTTTCTGGTCACTACCATTTCGCCAATCTCTAAAGCTTTCCCTCGTTTTCTTATCTTCTAAACTTTCACCAGCATCTAGGCTTTTCACAGCCTGTTCCTCCAAATTCCTCCAGCCTCTCCTCAATACCTAGTTCCAAAGCCATGTCTACATTTTCAAGTATTTGTTATAAGCAACACCCCACTTCTCTGGTACCAATTTTCTGTATCAGCCTGTCTCTGTTGCTTATAACAAAATACCTGGGACTGGGTAATTTATAAGAAAACAAATTTATTGCTTACAGTTTCAGAGGCTGGGAAGTCCAAAGCCCAGGGAATACATTTGGTGAGCACCTTGATGGTGGCAATGAAATAACCCAGGGACCTCACGCGGGAGAAAACAGTGGCGCAGAGAGAGACTAACCTCCTCACATGCTCTCCTTTTAAAGCCCTCAGAACCATGCCCCTGACCACCATTATTAATCCATTCACTATGGCACGGTCCTCAGAATCTAATCACCACTCAGAACATGTTAGTTTTGTGTGCAAGGCCCCGTGCTCAGACTGGGAGCACAGCAGGGAGTAAACAGGCGGCAGAGGGCGTCACAGAGTGGGGAAAGTCAGACACATTTCAATTTGAGTGTAGCAATGAAGGACATTGATCGCCTCCTGGATCCAGTCATTTTGACCTCCTGGATTAAGCAAGAGAAATAACTCCATTTTATTCAATAGGTGAAGTATTTTATTTCTGCTGATTTGTTTGCTATGATATGTGTATTAAATATTTCTAATTTTGTGATTATGCTAAGAGCAATCTTGCAATTGTATAATTTTAAAAAGTCAATCAACAAAAAATGTCTATCACTGTGGCATCTAGAAAACTAATCAATCTTTTATAATCTAATTTTTTTGGTAAACTTCATAATGCCCTAGGTGATGATTGCTCATTGTCAAACATGTAGAGCTATTTTCTGCCTCTCTTAGGTACTTTCTGTGGGAAAAACAAGAACCAGATTTGCATTCCCTGTCCTCCAAATAGTTTCTCTAGCACAGGTGGACAAAGGACCTGTGACATATGCAGGCAATGTGAAGGTATGATTTTAAAGACACATTCTTTATCCAGAAGATTGTTGGGAAGACAAGGTTTCATTCCCTATTTACTGACTGATCTCTATGGACAATCGTTAAGTGTCAAAGATGCTAATTTCTCTGTCAAAAGTGTGATCACGAGCTGGGCAGAGAGGGCTTTCAGCACATTAGCAACTAGGCGTTCATTCAGAGTTGTCAATAGTGGTCATGAGGTGCCTTCTCACTGAACTGAACTGTCAGGTGCCACTTACAGATTCTCTTTGTAAGGGCTCTATTTCAGGAGAAGTAAGCAACTGACATTTTTGGAATCTGGATGTTAATGCTAAATATCTATGAAAGTCCCTGAAAGTTCTTGCTATTGTTATTTCTGCATTTTGGCAGAACATGCTGGAAAGTGCACTCAGGAACTCTGGCAAACCTGCACAAAGCTATGTGTTTAGTCACACTTGCCTTGTCACAGAACTTTCTATAAATTTGCCACTTTTCCATAATATTCCATCATTAATTGTTCCTGAAACTCCCTGAGTTATGGTCTTGTGGAATTGTATAGGTAATGGTTCAAATGTAGATAATTCCGAAAGGAGAAAAAGCCCTCATCCTTGGAAATTTTTACTTTTTGCAGAGTGACATTTGTGAGACCAGCTAATTTGATTAAAATTACTTTGGAACCTGCTTTGCTAGTATTATATCTATGCAAGATTTAATCATGGGAAATGGCTATTACAACATGGTGGCTACTGTGCTATTGGTCATGAATTTTGAGAGGATACGATCAGTGCGGGATTCCTGTAGTAACTGTCCAGCTGGTAAGTACCAAACTAACATGTGCATTGGGTCTGTTCTGCTGGCCACATGGTTTAGTTAGTCCAGTAGTCAGGGCTAATGAGCTCCCTTTTAGGGAGCTTTTATTCATTCATTTACAAATACTTATTGGATGCTACATACTAGCTGACTGGACACAGCCAGGTCATTTCACTGCTTGTGCCTTGACTTTGTCGTCTGGGGATAATAAGAGAGCCTATCTCATAGGACTGCTGGCGGGATCCTATGAGAGGCTTAGAACAGGGGAGGGCACATGGCAAGACCTCAGAACATGTTAGTTTTGTGTGCAAGGCCCCGTGCTCAGACTGGGAGCACAGCAGGGAGTAAACAGGCGGCAGAGGGCGTCACAGAGTGGGGAAAGTCAGACACATTTCAATTTGAGTGTAGCAATGAAGGACATTGATCGCCTCCTGGATCCAGTCATTTTGACCTCCTGGATTAAGCAAGAGAAATAACTCCATTTTATTCAATAGGTGAAGTATTTTATTTCTGCTGATTTGTTTGCTATGATATGTGTATTAAATATTTCTAATTTTGTGATTATGCTAAGAGCAATCTTGCAATTGTATAATTTTAAAAAGTCAATCAACAAAAAATGTCTATCACTGTGGCATCTAGAAAACTAATCAATCTTTTATAATCTAATTTTTTTGGTAAACTTCATAATGCCCTAGGTGATGATTGCTCATTGTCAAACATGTAGAGCTATTTTCTGCCTCTCTTAGGTACTTTCTGTGGGAAAAACAAGAACCAGATTTGCATTCCCTGTCCTCCAAATAGTTTCTCTAGCACAGGTGGACAAAGGACCTGTGACATATGCAGGCAATGTGAAGGTATGATTTTAAAGACACATTCTTTATCCAGAAGATTGTTGGGAAGACAAGGTTTCATTCCCTATTTACTGACTGATCTCTATGGACAATCGTTAAGTGTCAAAGATGCTAATTTCTCTGTCAAAAGTGTGATCACGAGCTGGGCAGAGAGGGCTTTCAGCACATTAGCAACTAGGCGTTCATTCAGAGTTGTCAATAGTGGTCATGAGGTGCCTTCTCACTGAACTGAACTGTCAGGTGCCACTTACAGATTCTCTTTGTAAGGGCTCTATTTCAGGAGAAGTAAGCAACTGACATTTTTGGAATCTGGATGTTAATGCTAAATATCTATGAAAGTCCCTGAAAGTTCTTGCTATTGTTATTTCTGCATTTTGGCAGAACATGCTGGAAAGTGCACTCAGGAACTCTGGCAAACCTGCACAAAGCTATGTGTTTAGTCACACTTGCCTTGTCACAGAACTTTCTATAAATTTGCCACTTTTCCATAATATTCCATCATTAATTGTTCCTGAAACTCCCTGAGTTATGGTCTTGTGGAATTGTATAGGTAATGGTTCAAATGTAGATAATTCCGAAAGGAGAAAAAGCCCTCATCCTTGGAAATTTTTACTTTTTGCAGAGTGACATTTGTGAGACCAGCTAATTTGATTAAAATTACTTTGGAACCTGCTTTGCTAGTATTATATCTATGCAAGATTTAATCATGGGAAATGGCTATTACAACATGGTGGCTACTGTGCTATTGGTCATGAATTTTGAGAGGATACGATCAGTGCGGGATTCCTGTAGTAACTGTCCAGCCGGTAAGTACCAAACTAACATGTGCATTGGGTCTGTTCTGTCTATTGGTCATGAATTTTGAGAGGATACGATCAGTGCGGGATTCCTGTAGTAACTGTCCAGCTGGTAAGTACCAAACTAACATGTGCATTGGGTCTGTTCTGTTGGCCACATGGTTTAGTTAGTCCAGTAGTCAGGGCTAATGAGCTCCCTTTTAGGGAGCTTTTATTCATTCATTTACAAATACTTATTGGATGCTACATACTAGCTGACTGGACACAGCCAGGTCATTTCACTGCTTGTGCCTTGACTTTGTCGTCTGGGGATAATAAGAGAGCCTATCTCATAGGACTGCTGGCGGGATCCTATGAGGGGCTTAGAACAGGGGAGGGCACATGGCAAGACCTCAGAACATGTTAGTTTTGTGTGCAAGGCCCCGTGCTCAGACTGGGAGCACAGCAGGGAGTAAACAGGCGGCAGAGGGCGTCACAGAGTGGGGAAAGTCAGACACATTTCAATTTGAGTGTAGCAATGAAGGACATTGATCGCCTCCTGGATCCAGTCATTTTGACCTCCTGGATTAAGCAAGAGAAATAACTCCATTTTATTCAATAGGTGAAGTATTTTATTTCTGCTGATTTGTTTGCTATGATATGTGTATTAAATATTTCTAATTTTGTGATTATGCTAAGAGCAATCTTGCAATTGTATAATTTTAAAAAGTCAATCAACAAAAAATGTCTATCACTGTGGCATCTAGAAAACTAATCAATCTTTTATAATCTAATTTTTTTGGTAAACTTCATAATGCCCTAGGTGATGATTGCTCATTGTCAAACATGTAGAGCTATTTTCTGCCTCTCTTAGGTACTTTCTGTGGGAAAAACAAGAACCAGATTTGCATTCCCTGTCCTCCAAATAGTTTCTCTAGCACAGGTGGACAAAGGACCTGTGACATATGCAGGCAATGTGAAGGTATGATTTTAAAGACACATTCTTTATCCAGAAGATTGTTGGGAAGACAAGGTTTCATTCCCTATTTACTGACTGATCTCTATGGACAATCGTTAAGTGTCAAAGATGCTAATTTCTCTGTCAACAGGCAGGTCCAATAAAATAATTACCCATAATAGCAATTATTTGTGGATTGAGATTTTTAAGTATTAGAGGAAACAGTCATTTGATGAGAGAGAAGTTTTTAACTAGCAAAATGTAAAAATGCCTCTATGGAGATTTAAAAGTAAAATTTGTACCCTAAAGTCATGAAAAGCATTATAAGTACAGTGAACATGATTTTTATTGCAAAACATTAATTTGTTTCCTGGACTCAGAGGTCAAGTGTAATATAATGTTGGGGGGTCTTTGTAGGTGTTTTCAGGACCAAGAAGCCGTGCTCCCCCACCAGCAACGCACAGTGTGAGTGCGTCTCAGGATTCCACTGCCTGGGGGCACTATGCACCATGTGTGAGAAGGATTGCGAGCAAGGTCAAGAATTAACAAAGGAGGGTAGGTTTGCTCTTCCCTGACTTAGTGCAAGTTTGTTATGTAGACATATGTATGTCATTAGCATAGGTCTTGATCCTTTGAATACAAAGTAAAAAATAGATTTGTAGAACCTTAAAGTAACACGCAATAAACCAATGAGCCAAGTCTATGATATTAATACCATATTTTAATTAATAAAATAATATATCTATTATTTTTCCATAAATGGAATTAATTTGAAATTAGAGCATTTGTTAGTCACCAGAACCACACATTTGCACACATTTTAGACATATATAATACCCAATGCATAAGAAAAACTAGCAATCTTCGAGTTTTGTTTTTAAAATTGTTGAACAATTTGTGTAGGTTATATTAAATTGATTTTACTATGTTCGTCCCAGGATAAGTTATGAAATGATGAAAGTGCTTCTTTTTTATTACTGCTTTTATTTTTATGCAAGGTTGTAAAGACTGTTGCCTTGGGACATTTAATAATCAGAAACGTGGTGTCTGTCGACCCTGGACAAAGTATGTATAATTTCCTTTTGCTAACATATGTTCACTTCCTTTCCCTTACAAAATAAAGCATCTAATTTAAACGTTTTTAAAGACAAGGAATGCTATCATCGAACGTTTTTACACCTATCAAGCGTGTACATACAGGAGCATCCTAACAGGCAGCATGGGAACAGCACGTCATAGTGGCCCAACATGCAAAGTGGGCATTTTCTCGAGAAATAATGCTCAGAGCCTGTAGATGAGATTTGCCAGCGGGACTTTGCCATTGTCTGCCTCGAGTGGCCTTCTGTTCTCCGTTTCCTTCTAATCTCTTTGCTGCCTACTACCTTCCCTCACTGTCAGCTCCTCTCCAGTATGCAACGCCAGCCCTGAGGATGATATAGGAGAAGGGGAAAGTACGCGTCTTACCCTCCAAAATGTGACACACACTTGAGCACACAAGGCCATCTCAGTAAAAAGCCAACAGTATGCAAGAGAATGTGACTGCTGACTTGTGGGACCAGAGCTACCCAAACCGGCTCACAGACAGGTGCTGGTCCACCCACAGTACAGGCTTGGAGAGAAAGTGTTTAGAGATTTTTAAGGCAAATTGGCAGAGTAATGTGGTCTGTCAACTCTAACAGTGAAGATCTGGCCCTTGTATTTTATATGCCTTGTTCTTTTCCACTTGATTTTCTTACTAGAAAATCATTTTATTATTATTTTACATTTACAATACTATTATATTTTACACATGTATTGGTTTGTAACAGATTGGAAAGTTTTCTTTTTAAAAAGGTCTTTTTTAACACAAACTGTTCAGAGTAGTCAAGTGAGTCTACATGAAAAAGTGGGTTTGAATTGGGCTTGGGGGGGGGAATAGGTAAAGGGACAAGAGAAAAGGCATAGAAACAAAACAGCAATGATGACCATGACAATGATGATGGTGGCAGCTATCATCTGAGTGTGCCAGGCACACAACTGTGTGTCACTGGTCTCCTTCATTTGTGCTTCACCACAGCCCTGGGGACATACACAGTCCATATTTTGCAGATGAGGACACTGAGGCTGAGAGAGATTTCATGAGTTGCCCAAGGTCGAAGCAGCAGATCCTGGGCTCATCCCTGGTTTGTCTGATGCCAATGCGGGAACTTCTAACCCTATGCTATCCTTCCTAGGTGCCAGAGGTGGTCAAAGAGATGAGGACACTGAGGCTGAGAGAGATTTCATGAGTTGCCCAAGGTCGAAGCAGCAGATCCCGGGCTCATCCCTGGTTTGTCTGATGCCAATGCGGGAACTTCTAACCCTATGCTATCCTTCCTAGGTGCCAGAGGTGGTCAGATATGATTAAAAAGTTGGGGTGAGAGACTAACCAGGCAACACAGGGTGAACTTAGCGGTCATGGAACAGGGAAGAGCCCAGCGTCGCTCCCAGTCTGGGAAGAAAGAGGAAGCTAGTTAGGTAGCGTGAGTGAACCACGGCCAGCTCGAAAGCCGAGTGGAAGACGAGGAAGCCAGGTGGCCAAGTGGAAGTTTTTCAAAGTATCTTCCCATTGCCTATACACCCCCCAAAGATCATTGTCACTAGGCTAGTTCATGGGGTGAGCAATGCCGAAGTTTTTCACTGGAATCCTCTGTACCTGAATTAATATTCACACTCTTTTCATTGAACTTTCTAAGTTGTTCTTTAGATGGAAAGTCTGTTCTTGTGAACGGGACGAAGGACAGGGATGTGGTCTGTGGACCAACCTCGGCCGACTTCTCTCCAGGTACAACCTCCACCACCACGCTTGCCCCTGCGAGCGAGCCAGGTAGCTGGTTTGTTGCTGTTAAATCCGATCGAATGATCACGACTGTCCCAATCACTCTCTGAAACGCCCAGTATCATGATGTCTCACAACTCTGCCTGCAACAGGCTCCTCTGTCCAGCATCCCTTCCTTCTGCTTCCCTGTCTTCTTCACGGTTCCAGCAGTTTCTTCTCAGACATTTGTTATTCAGCCTGAGCTGCACATTAGCAAGCAGTGCAATGTGACACCTTCCCTAGAAGGATACTGCACCTTTATTAATGCCAAGAAAAGGGGATTGAATTACAGGGTCCCGTATTTTCTATGTGATAGAAAGGCCAAACTGCTTAATTTTTGTGGGCTTCTAGGAAAATTATTAAGGTGTTTTTTTTTTTTAAGTTTTCTAAGTTTACTAGATTAGCAGGTTGGAGGTAGCTACGGCACTGATTCTTGTGTTTAGGAATTTACCAATGTAAAGGATATAAACATGAGTGTATTTGCATAAGAATGTTTTTGCATGCATTTCTCCTTTTGCTCTTTTTTAAAGGACACGCTCCGCAGATCCTCCCCTTCTGTCTTGCGCTGACATCGGCTGCAGTGTTGGTCCTGCTGTTCTTCCTCGCACTCCGTTTCTCTGTCATGAAACGGGGCAGAAAGAAACTCCTGTATATGTTCAAACAACGTAAGAATAATGTAACAGTATTAGAAATGAACTCTTTCCAGGCAAGGCTTTTGAAAGTAGAAAGGAAAAGATTTTTTTTTTAAAGTTATAGAAACAAGGTTAGTATAGCACAGAGGTGATTTTGTCCCCAAGGGGACATATGGCAATGTCTGGAGACGGTTGTGGTACTCACAACTTGGTGGTGGTGGGTGCTGTTGGCATCTAGTGAGTGGAGGCCAGCATGCTGCCAAACAGCCACAATGCACAGGACAGTGCCCCACCAGAGAGCGATCCAGCCCCAAATGCCATTAGTGTGGAGGCAGAGAAAGCCTGGGTACAGAGGGACACTTCCTGGGGTTCTAGAAAAATGACAGTTTAAGTATGCTGCAGTCTTGGATTATTGCATGTGTTTTCGTGTGTGTGTGTGTGTGTGTGTAGCCAGTCAGTTGTGCATACAGGACACAAACAAAGAGGAATCAGAAAAGAACATTTGCCCCATCTGGTGCTGCACTGCTGGTTGGTAAATGACCTTAAGCTGAGGTTAGACCCGCATTCGAGGAAGGCATCAAGAACTAGGAGGGGGTTGAAGTGGTTTTAACCAAATTGATTATTATAACACCAATCTGGATTAAATGAAAAATTCCAATAACGAATTTCAGTCATTAATTCATGAAACAAGATATTTCTGTAAGGTACACAGTGAGTGCCTTGCAGAGAGTCAACACCCACTAAACAAAAGCTATTAATATATTTATTTGGAAAAGTTTATAGATTGGGGAGCAACTTGTTTTTTGTCTCCGTGAAGGACAGGATGAGAGATAGCAGGCTAGGCTTAATAAGAGGGGTTCATATAGAGGGGGAGCTTTTTGAGAGCACAATTTTAACCCAAAATGCCATAGTAAGACCGTAGTGTCTATTTGGAAGTTGTTTAAAATATACGAAGGAAAGCATACATAAGGTCCTATCCAAAGAGAAACTACACAAATTTATGTAAAGGTTCTTTTTAAAACAATATAAAACCTTTTTACGTTGTAAAATATACAGAAAAACACATCAATGTCTAACAAATTGTTGTAAAATGAACACCTGTGTAAACCTACCCAGGTCAAGAAATAGCACGTAATCTGCTCCCCGGAAGCCCTTTGCGACCCCCTTCCTGGTGACAGCCCCCCCACTGCTGCTAACCACATCTGGATCTTTACGTTGTTCACTTCCTTGCTGTTTATAGTTTTGCTCCCTAACAACACGGTTTCATTTGGCTGCTCGTGAACTTCATACAAGCAGCATCATGCCGTGTGTATTCTGTATCTTGCTTCTTTCACTCAACGTTGTGTCTTTAAGATCCGTCTGTGTGTTGAGTTCTTTAGTCGACTCCATTTTTGTGCACTCTTCTGTTGAATGACTGTATCACCGCTCATCCGTTCTAGTTTTGATGGACACTGGAGTTTTTTCTAATTTGGGGCTATTACAGACAAGGATGTTTTGATATTTTTGTCCACGTGTCTCAGTACACATAAGCACACGTTTCTGTTCTGGCTTTTGTTTTTTAACCTAGGAATAAAATTGCTGGAATCTGAGGACTGTGTATCCTAGTCCTTAGTAGACATACCAAACTGTTTTCCAAAATGGTTGGGCCATTTACTCTTCCCCGGTGGTGTGTGAGTTCCTTTTGATCCTTATCCATGTTAACACTTTGTATTATCAAAGTTATTTTTATCTATCTGGTGGGCGGATAGTAGTATCTCAGTGTGGTTTTAATTTGCATTTCCCTGATTACTAGTGAGGTTACTAGTGAGACACCTTTTCATGTTGTATTGGCCATTTAGATTTTCTCTTTTGTGAAGTGCCTAAGTCTTTGGAACATTTTCCCTAGGGTTGTCTGTCTTTTTCTTATTAATTTATAGGAACTTTTTAGTCAGTTGTTCATGTGCTGTAAATATCTTTTCCTATTGTGTGGTTTGCTCTTTCATGCTCCTTTTGAGGTCTGCGCCTCTAATTTAAACCTCTAAGCTGTCACCTAAACTTCATTTAAAGAACTCTCTCTAAAATGCTTTTCAAATGTGTTTATGAGTAATTAGTGAGCTGCAATGGAACTTCAATCTATTTTTTAAAAATTTTAGGTCGTTTAAAAACTTTTTATTTCTAAATAATTACAGATTCACAGGAAGTTGCAAAGGTAATACAGAAAAGTCTCATGTGCCATTCATGAGGTTACATCTTAGGGTACAATATCAGAACCAGGAAATTGACATTGGTACATTGTGCATGTATAGTCATATGTTATTTTATCATAGGTGTAGATTCGTGTAACCACCAACACAACCAAAATACAGAACCAAAAATCCGTCACCCCCCAAATCTCCCTCCTCTACCCCTTTCTTGTCACAACCACTTTCTCTCCCCTACCATCCCTAACCCCTGGTAGCAATTAACCTGTTTTCCATCTCTATTATTTTGTCATTTCAGAAATGTTATATAATTGGGATCCTACAGTATGTGACCCTTTAAGATTGGCTTTTTTCACTCAGCATAATGCCCTTGAGATCCATCCAAGTTCTTGTGCGTTTCGATAGTTCATTCTTCATTGCATGGTACAGTCGTACCACAGTTTGTTCTATCATGCACCTACTGAGAGATATTTTGGTTGTTTGCAGTTTTGACTATTACATGCAAAGTTTCTATGAATAATCATATACAGGTTTTGTGTGGATGGAAGGTTTCATATCGCCAAGATAAATGGCCAAGAGCAAAATTGCTGGGTCATATGCTAAGTGCTTGTTTAGTTGTTTAAGAAACTGCCAAACTGTTTCCAGAGGAATTGTACCATTTTACATTCTTACCAGCAATTTGTCAGATATCCAGGTTCTCTGCATCCTTGCTGGCATTTTGTATTGCCACAATTTTTTATTTCAGCTGTTCTAATAGGTGTGTAGTGACATCTCACTGTGGTCTTCGTTTGCATTTCTCTGATGGTTGAACATCTTTTCATGTGCTTGTTTTCCATCTTTATATCTTCTTCAGTGAAGTGTTCTTTCATGTCTTTTGCCCACTTTCTAATTGGATTATTTGTTTGCTTTACTGTTGAGATTTGAGAGTTCTTTATATTTTCATCAGATATATGGTTTGTAAATATTTTCTCCCAGCTTGTTGTTTGCCTTTTAATCCTCTTCACAGGGTCTTCCACAGAGAAAAAGTTTTTAATGTTGATGAAGTCCAATTTATCAATTTTGTTTATTTATGGAGTCATGTCTAAACACTCTTTACTCAGTTTATGTCCCAAAGATTTAGATTTTTTTTCCCCTGTGTTATCTTCTAAAAAGATTTACAGTTTTGTGTTTTACACTTAAATCTATTATTCATTTTTAGTTGAGTTTTGTATAAAGTGTGAGAGGTTTAGGTCAAGATTTTTGTTTGGGGGCCGGCCCGGTGGCGCACTGCTACAGTGCGCCACTTGGGAGCGCGGTGGCGCTCCCGCAGAGGGTTCGGATCCCACATACAGACCGGTTCCCGCTCACTGGCTGAGCGAGGGCAGGGAAAATTTCAAAAATTTCAGCCATTACTTCCTCAAATACTTTTTTGAGCCCTATTTTCTTTCTCCTCTCCTTCTAGGACTCCAGTGACATGAATTTAGATCTTTTGTTATAATCCCACATGTCCCTGAGGCTCCGCTCATTTTTTCCCCAAGTCTTTTCTCTCTGTTGTTCAGGTTGGGTGATGATTCTTCTCTCTCTCCTCTTCATTCTGCTGTTGAGCCCATTTATTGACTTTTAAAATTTCAGTTATAATAATTTTTCAGTTCTAAAATTGCCATTTGGTTCTTGTCTGTATCTTCTATTTTTCATTTGTTTCAAATGTGTTTCTAATTGCTTGTTGAAGCATTTTCATGAGGGCTGCTTTAACATTCTTGCCAGATTATTCTAATATCTGTTTCATCTAGATGCTAACATCTGTTGATTGTCTTTTCTCATTCAAATTAAGATCTTCCTGGTTCTTAGTATAATAAGTGATTTTTTTAAATAAAAAATTAGACATTTTGGGGATGACATTATGAGATGCTGGATCTAATTTAAATCTTGTATTTTCTCAGGCTTCCTCTGACCACTACTCCAGTGGAGGAAGGAGATGGCACCTTGCTGCTGCCAGACAGGGGTGAAAGTCCAGGTTCTAGACCTCATGGAGGGGGGGATGAGGGACTCCTTGTTATTGTCAGACATGTGTGGGAGTTCAGGCTCCCACTAGGTTTCCTCTGACACTACCCAAGTGAGAAGGGGGAGATGAGCCTTGATACAGCCTGGCAAGGTGGAAGTCTAGGCTCTCTACTTGGCCCTTCCTGGTGGGCTTGGGTGTAGGGCCACAGGTTTTTCTGAGGTGTTTTGCTAGAGTTGAGTGGTTACTGCCTAAAAGTTTTTGGCCTTGGTCTGCTGCCCCTTTCCTAGTCTTGCAGATAGAGCAGGATTTTCTTGGGGCATTGTTTTTTGGAGGTTAAAGTTTTATACCCATTTGCATTTCTCATTTGCTGGCTTCTCTAGTTCCCAGTCTGGAGTGTATGAGATGGAATGAAAACCCAGGTTGTTCCTTGGGTCTCAAGATCCTAAGCTGGTCTGCTTTCTTCTCTTCACCTTCCGGAGTCTTCTTATGCTTGTTTCCTATATAATGTCCAGAGTTTTCAGCAGTAGTCAGCAGGAAGAATATGGAAAAGTATGACATCTTCATCTTTCCAGAAGCAGATCTCAATTTTTAAATTAATCTTCATATATAATGTCCAGAGTTTTCAGCAGTAGTCAGCAGGAAGAATATGGAAAAGTATGACATCGTCATCTTTCCAGAAGCAGATCTCAATTTTTAAATTAATCTTTGGTACAACTTCCAAATCCATCCCATTGGTTTTTCTGAAAGTTCTGCCAGTTTTTCCTAAGTTCTGGGAGGTAGTGTGGTTGTTTGGTTTTGGTTAATTGATATAGTAATGTGCTCGTGAAATTGGGGCAGTCCCTTTTGCTTTGTCAGGCTATAAAGAAATATTTGCTTGAGATTGAAAGTTGTTCAGCAGTAACACAAATAATAACATGTGAAAGTTAATGCACAAATCAGTTCTTTGCTAACTAATAAGTCGAAGCAGTGGGAATATCCTTAACACCTGGTGCCGTGAAGAGACGGGGTGGACAAACGGGTACAAAACTATGCTAAGTGGATCATTGTGCATGCACACATTGAAACAACACACTGTACTCCACAAACACGTACAAGTAAATGTTAAAAAAAATCCTTGTGCTTTAGTATTTCATTCAAAATAAACTGTCTGATCTCAAAGTAACCCTCAAGACTAAAATTTGTGCTGCATTAAATTAAAACTGAAGTTATGTTTGTGATACAGCTAATCTTTTATACCACTGTGATTCATAGGTGTCTTTTTTTAGACATTGTAGAAAATAAAATATATACAGATATATATTTAGTTTTTAAAGACCAATAACAATATTTGGTAAAGGGAAAAAATATTACATTAAATATTCCCTAGAAAAAGCAAGTAGAGAGTGTTTGCTACTTAGAGAATGTTTTGCAATTGTGTTCATGGAAAATAAGTGTTAAATGATTAAAATAGACAATAAAATGTAAGTATCTTTTAAATTATTTTTTAGCGTTTATGAAACCAGCACAAACTGCTCAAGAGGAAGATGCCTGTAGCTGCCGATTTCCAGAAGAAGAAGAAGGAAATGAACTGTGAAATGGAAACCCAAAGAGCTGTTCAGACTCTTGAAAAGCAGCAAAGGACAGATCAAGTGACGCCACTGTCATGTCTTTCTAGAATGAAAAATATGGCATAATACCCAGGATTGCCCCCCTATGTATTTTTCCTAAATGCTAATGAGTCAGCCTGTAAAAATGCACCACTTTTAACAGAACAGAAATATGGGACAGGCTTGGGACAGTTTTGTTCAAGTCTAAAGAAAAGTATAGTTTGAATTCCATCACGTAGGCCAATGTAAGCTAAAGTTATAATCAAAGTCAATCCAGCTTTTTGTGTGCTAAAGTGTTGTGTGACAATAAGCCACAAAATGCAGTAGATATCCCCAACCAAATTTTCCATCGGTTTTGTCATTGAACACAATGACCTCTTCCGCTGTTAGAGGGAGTATGATGAAGGTGCCTGAGTTTGAGGTCAAGTTTGAGGTGAAAAAAAAAATCTCAGACCTGAGGAAGAGTTTCAGAAAGAGTTCAAATGTCCTCGCCTGTCCCCTGATCCTCTCCGTCCTCTTACCTTCGAGCTTTGTTCTACTCTCCTTTGAGCCAGGTTACATTTTTTTCATCCTTAAAAACCTTTTACATAATCATTGATACACACAAACTAGTAAGTGATACATGCATGAAAGGAATGAAGCACAGTAAAAAGAGGGGACACCTGCGAACTCATAGCAGAACCCGAGCGCTTGAGCAGGGGCTACCAAGCTCCCGTGGCCAGAGGAGACACGCCACTTTCCATTTCTACGGCTTATGAGCTAAGAATGGTTTTTACATCTCTAAATAGTTTAAAAAATTGAAAAGAAAAAGACCTCATGGTACATAAAATTACATAAAACTTGGATGGCAGGGTCCATAAGTACAATTCTCTTGGAACACAGCCACCCACATTTATTTACATACCGTCTAAGGCTACAGCGGCAGAGTTGACTAGCTGTGGCAGAGACTGTATAGCCCTCAAAGCCTAAAATATTTAATACCTGACCCTTTGTAGGGTCAAGGTCACAGCATCCATTTGTGGGCTGCTTCCCTCTCTCATCTTCTGTCTCCGCACTGGCAACCTGTCCCTGGAATTTTGAGTCTCTCTTTCCCTTGCTTTTAAAAAATCACTTATCATATAATTATGTACCTTAAAACTATGTTATTTAGTTTTGCTTGTTTTTGAGCCTTAGGAAGAGGGTATTGTAATGTATGGAGACTTCTGTGACTTGCCTTAATCACTCAAAATTATATTTATAAGACTCATTCATGTTGTTGTGTGTAGTTTGAGTGCATTTGTTTTGACTGTCTAGTTTTGCAAATATACCAGTATTTATCAATCCATTCTCTACCAAGGGACATCTGGGTTGTTTCCAGGTTTTTCACAATCATGAACAATGCTGCCGTGAATGTTCTTTTACACATCTCCCATGCAGGAGTGTGCTACGAAAACTTCTTAAAAGTGGAATCGCTGGGTCTTAGGGAGTGAGAATGCTCAACGTCATAGCTAGTGCTTGTATCAGTCAGGACATGCTGGGTTATGCAGAAACGACATGGGAGTCCCCGGATCTTGCTGGTTTACAACAAAGCAACACAGGTGCATTCCTTACTGTCACCACATGCCCCTTGTGGGCTGGCTGTGGCTTTGTCCCATGTTATTTCACTCTGGGATTTAGGCAGAGGGAGCAGCTTCTCCTTGGAATAGTGGCCATATCGTGGCAAAGGGATAGATGCCACGACTGCTCATATTTATTTGGTTCAACTCTAACCTTTAGAGCAAGTCATACAGCCGAGCCAGGCATCGATAGGAGAGAAAAGCATAATCTTAACACAGGGAGGGGTAGAAATGTTTCTGAACAACAGTCTGCTGCAGCGCCAAATTGCTTCTCAAAGTAGTAGTTCTAATTTATGCTCCTATCAGTCATAGAAGTGTCCTAAGTGTCCCATCGATCCACGTCCTTGCTTCCCTCTGGTATTATTGGAATCCCTCAATTTCGTCAATCTACTGGGTGTAAATGGCACCTCGCTGTGGTCTGACTTTGCATTTCCTTGATGACTGACGAGACTCTTGTCACAAGTGTTCATAACCAGTTGTGTTTCTTCATTAGGAAATGCTTGCTCAAGCTTTTTTGCCCATTTTTTAAAACTTGGTTGTCTTTTTCTTATTTATTCAGAAGTTCTTCATATCACATAGATGATAACCTTTGGTCAGTTACATATATTACAAATATCTCCTTTGTAATTTTTTTCCCTCTTTTTAATGGTGTCTTTTTTGTCTTTCTGATAATAAGCAAAAAATTCTTCATTTAATATGGTTAAATTTATAACTCTTTTCTTATATGGTTAATATTTTTTGTTGCCTGATTAAAGAAATTCTTTTCTGCCCCAATATCATCAAGATATTTGGTCACATTTTATTCCAGAAGTTCTCAGTTTTGTCTTTGGTATTTAATATGAGGAATTGACTTTTGTGCATGTTGGGAGGTAATGATCCTGCTCTGTGTCTTTCATGTGCATAACCCCAGTCCCAGCACCATCGATTCAATTCTTCACCTTTTCCCTGTGGATCTGCAGGGCTATCTGCCATGCATCAAGGATTTTTAAACGTGAATGGATGTTGACTGGTATCAGGTTATTTTTCTGGGAAAACAAAAGTATTTGATTGCAGATGATTCAGCTGGTGGTTCTATCATCTTTGATTTAAAAGTTGGATCCAAAGTTGGATCCAGGGGCCGGCCCGGTGGCGCACTCGGTAGAGGGCGGTGCTCCCGCCGAGGGTTCGGATCCCA